GGCGGCGCCGGGACCTTCGTACCCTTCGCCAACGTCTTAGGCAGTGTCATCCCTACACTCTTCGCCGCATCCACAGAAGCAGCAGTGCTTTTAGCTGCAGCATTCTCGGAAGCAGCTGCAGCAGCAGGTGGAGGCGTCCCTGCATCTCCACCTGAAACACCGGAGTCACCAGAATGCGTCTTGCGGTCCTGATCCAGCACTGTGCCAGGTTCCTTCTTCCCCAGGGGAGCTTCTGGCCTCTTAGAAGCCTTTGCCAGAGCAACGGAGGCAGACTGTTCTACGGAAGTGGCCACTGGCGGGCCCTTTGGGGATGCAGTCTTCAGGGGCAACGTCGCTGGCGACTTCACACTCTCCACTGCCGCCGCCGCGGTATCCTTAACCTCAGCTTGTGCTGCGGTCGTTGTTGTTGCGCTCTCTGCAGGAGTTGCTGCGGCACAAGTCGCCTTTGCTCCTTTGGCTTGCAGTGGACCGGGCTGTGTCTTGCTCACTGGAGGCCCTACCATCACTAGCGACGGAGCCCCAGCGTCAGCCTCAGCGGCGGGAGCAGCTGTCCCCGGAGGTGCTTTAGCCACGGCTTTCGCCGCCTTCGGTGGCAACAGCTTAGGCTTTGCCCCTGCGATGGGAGGTTCTGCAGGCTCGCACGAGGCTCGTGCCCCATCATCTCCAGCAGACGTCTCGTGGTGGTCAGGCGTGCTTGGCCTACTCACAGCTTTTCCTAGCTTCGCAGCCGTTGCAGGCGGCTTTTTGCTCGGTGGCTGTAAAATCTGTGGGGTAGGCGTGGGAGATGCGGCGCCCTTGGGAGCTGGTGAGGCCTTGTCAGGGCTCCTTGTCAAAGCGCGAAGGGCCGCCAGTTCTTCTTCGAGGGCACGCACTCTTTCCTGCAAAGTATTCCGCTCTTTTACTAATGCAGCCGCTTCCGCAGCAGTCAATGTCCTCTCTTTGCTGTTGGCACCCTCGGAGACGTTCCCTGGTGTAGCTGGAGGCCCCGCTCCCTGCATCTTGAATGCCTCATTTTCACTTCGAAGCTTGCTAGCCTCTTCCACAAGAACTGCATAATCATCTTTTATCTTCTGCCCATCCGCGAGCTGCTGCCTCAGCATAACGACCTCCCGCTCAAGATTCTCGAGCTTGGCACGGGCCTCCGCAGCTGCTTCTTCCCCAGGACGTGTTGGAGCCCCTTCTGCAAGGCCTTTCGCCACTGGCGTATCTGAATGTTCAGGGCTTGCTTTGACAATAGCCAGTGCCTTGGAGCCCTGTATGAACTTCCTATCTGGAGGCGCCTTGCTTACGGAGGGCGTTTTCTGTGACTCCCGAAGGACGGAAAGCTCTTGCTCCAGCGCCTTCACCTTCTTGGCCAATTCGTCTCGTTCTTTGGCCATACTTGCACAGTCACCACATCGGGGCCCTGCGGAAGGAGGCCCCGCTGGTTTCGTTGGGGCTCCTGCTGCGTCAAGCTTTGCCTGCAAGCTCTCGTTCTCCTTTTGTAGAGTTTCATATGCCTTCTTCAGCTCCTCCCTCGCCGCCAATTGCTCCCTCAAGTCAGCTACCTCCTTCTCCAGCATCTGCTTGGCCTCCTTAGAAAACACCTCTTCTGAAGGCACTGGGGCCTCCACAGGCGGCGCCTTCTTCGGCGGCGCCGGGACCTTCGTACCCTTCGCCAACGTCTTAGGCAGTG